TTTAATCAAATGATATAAACATTTTTTATGTAAATCCTTGTCTTAAAATTGATTGATTAACATACTTTATGCCCGTTTTGGAAAATGTAGAGGACAATGTTTCCATATACTTACCAAAGGGATATTCAGGCAAAATAGTGACAAAACTATCAAAACGATCTTATGTACTCAAATCACGCTGAAATGACATTTCTTAAAGTTCCAGCATGAATTTCTGTTTAAATTCTACATATTTTGAAGCATAATTATATCTATTTTAGTGAACAAAATTTAGACGCCAATAAAATCACTGAATAGTTTTAAAACAAGTCATGTCACTTGAATAAACCATTGAAGTAACAAAAACAGATATTGTGGATATTGTAGGATCGAAACAAGTCTAAGTCATTCATTTGACATGTTCTTTTACGTTTCCAGATTTCACCGTGACATTTTTTTGTGAAATTCTAGTGCTCTAACCTGACCCACGCGGGTCAAGATAGGAAACCACCATTTTATTCTGTATATCGAGAAAAGTTTTGTTCTTTTGACTGTCTAATGAATTCATTTTCGGAGCATTTACAGAATAATGAATGAAAAATCCAAAACTAAGAAATGAAAATTTTGCCTGTGTCTCCCTTTAAAGTCACATTTAATAAATTTCATAAAAAACTAAATAGCGACATTTCATAAATAAATTGGGTTTTATATCGACTCCACGTCTTATTTTGGTGTCCAAACAACCAAAATGAGTTTTATTAGCATAAAAATAAGTAACCTCATTGTGGCGAAATGGGAAATACGATAACACTTAGTTCGTACACGAATTTTAACATGCAAATGAAGACTATAATCAGCTCATGTATGCGCTACGTCACAGTTTTATAGTTGCTATCCGGAATACAGCATATATGATATTTTCTTGTGCGAACACAGTTTAACCGTTTAAGCTTCACGGTGCACTACGTAAAATGATTAAATTTGTATGAAAACATCCGTTACAATGCGGAAATATACCGTTAAATTAGGACTGCTACTTATAGTCATTTTTGGTTGATTTGATATTGATGTACGGATGATCTGAAGGCGGAGTTTCTCATGCAAACAGAAATTGTTCTTCCCATTTCGCCACAATGAGGTTACCCATTTGTATGCTTATTAAACTCATTTTGGTTGTCTGGACACCAAAATAAGAACTGGAGTCGATATAAAACCCAATTTATAAATGAAATGTCGCTATTTAGTTTTTTATGAAATTTATTAAATGTAGCCTTAAAATAAGAAATGCAAAACAAACTTTCAATATGATACTAAATTCAATATATATATAATAAATTCTATTTTGTTAAATAATTGTAATTTATAACCACTCATTGAGTCTTTTATGCAAGAATATCCCCAAATATTTTCGAATTAAACAAATCTTCCACAGCAGCAAAAAAGACCTCTCGCATGCATCTTTTTAAAGATGAAAACTTGTATAATGTATTAGTGACGCCTATTACGACCCTGTGAATTTCAAAACTAACATGTAGTGTCCAGATTTGACCATCCCTGATCTTTAGGTAACAGATTTATACATTTGTTACATTTGCTGGTGTTGGACAAATTACATGATTATTATTTATGATCCTACTTGTTTTAAATGCGGAATCGTCAAAATTTGTCCCCTTATCATTTTTAACCTGCCTACGTATTTATAGAATAGGAAACGCGATGCATCAAAATCACTGAAAATGATAAAAGTCAAGTCAAATTGTACTCACCAAAGTGCCAGTGTCTGAATTGTATGCAACAAGACGCCAGTGTCGAATTTTACACGACGTCAAGCTAAAACTTTAGTTTATTATTTTAACCAACCATTTTTCTTTCATTTCAGTAGGTAGCTTTTTGTATGATTTGTTTTTATGAATACTACAGAACCTTGTTTAATATGATTCATGCCTGGGAATCTTTATCATACAAATGGGCTTAGTATTATCTCTATAGTTACCTAAATGTTTAATTATAAATAATTCGAAAATAAAAACAAGGAAAATGTAATCTCCTACAGTGAGATTTCATGCATAAATAAATTGCTTTAATCTTAAAATAATGTATTCGTTGAGATGAAGATGTGTGAGATTATATTTGTTTTAGTTTAGTTTTAGAAATGTTGTTATCTTTCTCTATATTTTTCTCACCTAGTTACATGGCACCTTACATCACCGCAATATTGGATATTTTTGAAATAAAAACAACTCTTTAAACTTAAAAATAAAACAACTTTCAAACTTATTTGTAACATTAATATGTAAAAGATGTAATTGTTTAATATTATGTTGCATTGTACATTTCAGGTACAATGTATTAATCAGAAGAGAATGGTTGCATTTCTCAATCATTTTGTGAGTCACACTGCTGGTTTCCTGAACAGGTTCTCATGTGTTTGTGAGGAGAAACTGGAACATTTGTCACACAGAATGCAACAACTTGAAATCACTATGAGTCTTCTTTAGGCTAAGGTAAAGATACTTCTATTTCATCGGACAGAATACATGGCGCATGACATCATGTATATGTAACAGAATCTGAATGATGTAAGATGGAGTAAATCCATGATGTGAGACTTTCTAAAATAAAATTATAATTATTAACATGTGAATAGAATATAGGTCATTGTCAATTTGGCTTATTATGTAAGTTGTAATATACAAGTGTGGTTTTAATTGTATAAACATTTAGTTTCAGACAGGCAGCACATTTGTAAATATATTGTAGTGATTATGTTTTGTTTTGGATCATCAATTTTTAGATTTCATCTATACTTGGATTAGAAAACGTTACAGCAGCTAGTAGCTCTTCCAGCGGACCCACACCAACTACCTCTAATGGCGCCGGAGGCACAGCACCACCTCCAGCGCCCTCTGTCCCAACCAGCACTGAGCCACCCGCTGAACAGGTAAAGATTTAGAATAAAATACTTTGCCAAAACATAGTTCAAAGTTACTACTATTTCATGAATAAATTTTTATTATAATCAAAGAAAGGGATTGTAAAAAGAATAATTTCTTTGTTATACAAATTTTACCAGTTTTATGGCAATTGTTGGCTACATAACCCTCAAGTAGGAGCTTAGGCTGTATAAACTAAGAGTGGTTTAAACTTGACCTTATAACCTTTAAAAATCTATATCACGGGTAATGTACAAATAATTTTACAGAAAAAGGTATCTTAAAATACTATTAATGTACATGTAGATGGAATGTTGCATTCAGCATGAATAAGTTGTTATAGTAACACGGCCAACTGGCTGATGATAAGAGAGCACTTAGTTGGATCTTTATTAATTACCTGTACCACATGTATAAACTGTAGCTATCTCAAGACATAGACCAGTGTTTTACACTTTTTTATTTATACTGGTATTCTCTTGGCTGAAGTTGTCCTGTATTTTCGTCACTCATGCTCAGATTCAGAAGAATTGTATAGGAAAAGTTGTTAGTTACTTGTTGAAACCATTATTATAATAAATGGAGCTGGGCAGTGATTAAATTAATCATAGATCACATGGATGAAATTCGGTTCTAAAGTTTAGAAAATGCACTATTTGCTAAATCTTCTTGTAAAAACATAATTATGAACATAAAACATATGTTGGAGAGAGTTTTTTTTTTGGAGAGAGTTTTATTCCTGACTTCTGATAATTAAGAATAAAATAACAAAAAAAACCTATACATATTCGATTTAGTAAGCAGTAATATGATAGTAAAAATGTTCATTGACATGCAGATTTTATTACATTTCAGCCTACTGGGGATAATGCCCCTCCGCCCCCACAACCTGAGCCTGTAGCAAGCAATCCTGTATCACAAGATCCAAGATTTGTTAAATATTTCAAAATGGTGAAAATGGTATGTAAAATTGTTACTTTAATATCTGAGACCTAGTAATTTTAGAGAAGTGTAAGTTTAATCTAAAATCAGTAGAAATAAACCAGTAAAAAGTGAGTCGAAAAAATAAAGTTGTGCTAGTCTCCCTTGTTATGATATGTAACATAAATTTAACTCACTAGAGGAAGGAGGATATTGAACAAATTACAGAAAAAATAAATTGGAAATTGAACAAATAGTTTGATTTTATTTTGTAGTTTCTTACTAAGCATTGTTAGCTTGACTATAAAGTATAAGGAGAGCTCTGTCTTACTCACCCCTATGTCGGAGTCTATGTATAGGTTTCTGATTATTGTTTTTGTGCAGTAAAATATTTTCATACTGTAACTTCTTAATTTCTTAAAGGATTAACTTTAAACTTCATATACTGTTCCTTTTACCTACATTATATGTGTTAAGGTTCATAACTCTAGCACCAATATTTATGGGATTACCTCCCCATGAATTTATAATTTTTTCTTTAAAATTCCTGTTTTTCTGTTTCATTATTATTTCTTTATTTATTGAGGGATTAACTGCAAACTTCAACTATAAGTTCCTTATCATAACTCTTGCACATATATTTCCAGAATTACCACCCCCTTGAACTTAAATTTTTTCTTTATTTCTTGAGGTATGTACATGTGTACTTGAAAAACACTTTTCAGGACTTGTTTATTAAACTTAATGCTTTTGCAACATTAACATTTTTCATTTCTATTGTACTATTTTCATCAAATACTCTGAACGGATACAAACCTTTTTAACTTACAATATCTGATATAATGATTTACATTTGTTTTATAGGGAGTTCCTGAGTCTGCTGTAAAAATGAAGATGTGAGCAGAAGGGTTGAACCCTGACCTACTAGAGTAAGTAATCTATATAGATATATTGTAACCTTAGTGAAATAATAAGTTAACTCCTATTAAATTATATAAGGAGTTAACTTAAGTTAACCCATTAAAGCATTAAGGTGACAATATATAAGTTGTAAAATTATTTATATTATATGTTTGTATAAAAGTATAGTTTGTAAAATGCTTACATTCCTTGATGCAACTTTAGAAGCAGGTATGGGTAAAGGGTGGGATCGGGTGAGTGGGTTTGACACTGGAACAAATATGACTTAAATTGCTTTAAAGGAATCCGATATGAAACTTCTTTAAGAATTGTTGATTCTACTATTTAAGTATTTATTTCTGCAAAACCTTTATTTCTGCTGTTTGAAGAAGATATTACAAATTTAAAACCTGCAGAAATGTATGCTGTTATATCTGCATTTGTTAAATTTTGGCTTTCCCTTTGAATGTTACATTGCTATATAAATATATATTATTGTTATATGATACAGATTATATCTTATTTCTTATTTCAGTGATCCTGATGCCCCGGCCCCAGCTGGTGGAGCAGATAATGATGATGATGATGATGATGATGACTTTAGTGATGATTTTGATTGACAGGCTTGATTCTATATTTAGGAACAAATTGAATAATATATATATAATAATAGTAACAAATTGAATATGATTTGTACATACAAAAATTTTAGTTTGTAAATAGTGACATGAATTTCATGTAGAAACAGTTTAATTTGTCACTATTTACAAACTAAAATTTTTGTATGTAAAAATCATATTCAATTTGTTACTATTATTATTATATATATATTATTCAATTTGTTCCTAAATATAGAATCAAGCCTGTCAATCAAAATCATCACTAAAGTCATCATCATCATATATATATATATATAAAATTAGTTACAAAGATATTGTGATGTATAACTATGTCAGATGATACTGTTGTATTAGTTGATTTACAAACATCTGACCATTGTTACAGTTATTATACCCCCACAAACGAAGTTTAGGGGGGGTATATAGGAGTCAGCTTGTCGGTCGGTCGGTCGGTTGGTCGGTCGGTCGGTCGGTCCGTCCGTCGGTCGGTCCACATCATGGTTTCCGGACGATAACTAGAGTTTGGAATGAGGTATTGTAATCAAACTTGGTATATAGCAACCTTATGTGGAAACTCTGGTTGGTATTGCATTTGGACCCCCTGGGGTCAAGGTCAAGGTCACTGTTACTAAAAATAGAAAAATGGTTTCCGGACAATAACTAGAGTTAGGAATGAGATATTGTTATCAAACTTGGCGTATAGCAAGCTTATATGAAGACCTTGGTTGGTATTGCATTTGGGCCCCCTGGGGTCAAGGTCAAGGTCACCGTTACGAAAAGTAGAAAAAATGGTTTCCGGACAATAACTTGACTTAGGAATGAGATACTGTAATCAAACTTGGTGTATAGCAAGCTTATATGAAGACCTGGGTTGGTATTGCATTTGGACCCCCTGAGGTCAAGGTCAAGGTCACTGTTACTAAAAATAGAAAAATGGTTTCCGGACAATAACTAGAGTTAGAAATGAAATATTGTTATCAAACTTGGCGTATAGCAAGCTTATATGAAGACCTTGGTTGGTATTGCATTTGGGCCCCCTGGGGTCAAGGTCAAGGTCACCGTTACGAAAAATAGAAAAATGGTTTCCATACAATAACTTGACTTAGGAATGAGATACTGTAATCAAACTTGGTGCCTAGCAAGCTAATATGAAGACCTGGGTTGGTATTGCATTTGGACCCCCTGGGGTCAAGGTCACTGTTAAGAGAAAATAGAAAAATGGTTTCCGGACAATAACTAAAGTTAGGAATGAGATATTGTTATCAAACTTGGTGTATAGCAAGCTTATATAAAGACTTTTGTTGGTTTTGCATTTGGGCCCCCTTGGGTCAAGGTCAAGGTCACCGTTAAGAAAAATAGAAAAATGGTTTTCAGGACAATAACTAGAGTTTGGAATGAGATATTGTAATCTTATTTGGTGTATAGGAAGCTTATATGAAGACGTGGGTTGGTATTGCATTTGGACCCCCTAGGGTCAAGGTCACCGTGTTACTAAAAGTAGAGTTAGGAATGAGATATTGTAATCAAACTTGGTGTATAGCAAGCTTATTTCGAGACCCCAGTTGCGATTACAATTAATTGAAATATTTCTTTGTACACAGTTGATAGTTTGTGTTCAAATTTTTCTTCAGACTACTTTTTTTTCAAAAAGTTAAAGTTGCTGGTGGGGGTATTAATCACCTTCAGTGATAGGTCTAGTTTATTTTGATATATGTGTATTTAGAAAAACAAACACTAATTAAACGCCCCCTTACCCTTTCTCCCTGATTATTTTGAACTTCTCCCTGATGCAGACAACCTTAATTGTTAGCCATATCATTATAAAATAGAAGCATTATTTTTGTTTGCAACATATTTCTTTACCAGTGGTACTACATGTACAGTAATATGTGACCTTCATTCCTAAAGGACCTTGATCTCTTTTGTCAGATTCTCAGAATTTTAAAATTTCATTATAACTGTTAATTTTAAAGGTTATAAAGCTATATCTTATGAAATATTTTTATAAATTTATCAAGAGTAAAATTTTATTACTCCAGTATCATATGGTCAAATCTTGAAAAGAGTTGTAAGATAGAATGTCTCTGTTATTTTATAGATCTACACATGAATATTGTATGCAAACAGAAAAAAATGTTTGGCAACAAAATATTATTCTGCTATTTAAAGTAGGGTTTTATCTGTTTAGCAATACTATCATGTCGTTGCGTAATTGCATGATAGGCAATTTACTACCATGTTTATTTTATACAGGCATTTTGGAAGTATTCAGTTTGAAAATTCAGACAATTATTTTTGAAGTAGATATATAGCATGATTAAGGATCATATTGTTTGTACTAAACAAACCAAACTTGTTTCAGTAGGAATATCATTTTGTAAATTTTGTTATTTGTTATGAGAAATGTATGTAATAATTTTGTTTAAAAAGCAAACTTGATGGATTGTATTGTTGAAGTTGTTAAAGTTGTCACGGTGTGTACAAATGATAAATTACATTAAAAATTTTGTAAGCAAAGTATGAAGTGCTTATCAGTTTACAAGTGTGTTGTAAATATTTATATTGACTAGAGGGACCAGTGCAATACCTTAGTTATTGATCAATATTCATTTATTTTCTTATCAAGATTTCCATTCATTTTTTAAACACAATTTAATGAGAAAGATTGTGTGAAAATAATTATACGATCGTATGATATCTAATTGCTCTTGTTGATTGATAAATCTATAATTTCTGAAAGGCACGTTAACAGAACAGAAATGTGTATTTATTTTATCTTAAATTGCCAATATGTGTTTTATACTACATGTATATTAATAATAGCTTTAAAGCATGTCCTGAAGAAAAAGGTGCTGAATGTGAAATAATTTGTCATAAAAGTAGGAAAATGTAAACAAAGTGGTATTTTGACTGCCATTGAAAATACTTAATCACTATTACTGTACTAATTGCCAAAATGCTCAAGAAGCAAAAAATATGGTTCAGTTATATTGCAAATAAAAAACTTTTTGACACAAAGAATTAAACATTTTGAAAAATAAAATTTTGTTGGTTAAATGAGCCTTTGACATTATCATGATCAGAAAAAGGTTATGTAATAGAAAGAGCACCGAAACACGAGGCTATCTGATTTGTACGAGGGGGCGTAGCCCCCGAGTATAAATCAGATAACCTCGTGTTTTGGTGTTCTTTCTCTTTTGTATCATATTCAAACATAAAAGCACGTTCTCAATATCACAATATGAAACCCCGGCAAAAATGAACCAATGAACGAACATCTGGATATGACATTTCTGTCGCTTTCAATGGGCATGCTCTGGAGTGCGGGTAACTAATACCCGCACTCCAGTTAACGCACTGTGCATGTATATATATAACCCGGACACATTTTCAACAGAAAGGTCTCCAAACTATGATACAATGGAATGTTATTGATTGATAAGGTCCTTAAATCATATATTTGTTTTACCAATGGGATGTCTTCTCTTTTATATTTAAATATTCGTACTGTATTACATAAATATTTCAAAATGTACTTTTATTAAAGCGTTTAAGTTCACTTCTGGTTTGGGTAGGAGAAATTCTTACATAATTATTTGAAAAAAAACAACAGTTTTTAATCATAAAATCATGAATATTGTTTTTGACCGTCTTGATATTTGAAATTATAAATAAATTGATATGAATTAATACATATTTAATGCTTTTTTTCTGTTTGATCTGCTGTTAGTCATCTACGGTTGTGTCATATTATACAATTATTGACTAGTGAGCCATTGAATATATGACTTTCTGCCGGTGAATATCACATCATATTCAATGGCTCACTAGTCAATAATTGTTTTATTATATGAGTCTCAATCTATTTTTAGACTGGGAAAATCCAATTCAGCCAGTGAATATGATTCTACACCCAGTAAATATGATTTTATAAAAAGTTCTGTTGACTACTGTTTGGACCAATGAGATTGCAGCTACATTTAGATCATATAATAAACCTTATTATATGCCCTTCTGAGTAGACTGGAGTTGCCCAACACAGTTGTCAGTATGAGGAGCATATTTTAATTAGTGGCAACAACTCAATTTAACCATTATTTGCACGTGAAAGTACATGTATAATATACCATTGGAAAGATTATTGATTTTTCCGACCAAAAGTCTATTTTCGCACGATTTGCACGTGCAATAGAATTTTAGCAGGACATGTGGTCATGTATACTGGTTGTAAACATGGCTGAGCTGCATTGTGATTTGAGAGAGGAGCAAAGAGCTTATTGCAAATTTCGCGCGTCAAAAATAAAATCGGATCTAGATTTAGTTCATGGAGAAAATGCCCTTCCACGTCGTTCAATTGTTAGATGGTTGTCAATGTTTAAGGAAGATAGAACTAATGTTAAGAATGATACC